TAAATAAAAATATATAAAAAATAATATAGCATTGAATGTAAATATTTTATTGAATGAGAATTCCGATATTCAATTAAATCCAAAAATACCAAATGTTGACACTCTTCCCTTCGTCAGAAATTTGTGGAAGTGGTACAAGGAGAGGTTAGGTTGTGAAACTAAAACTCAAAGGAGAAGAAAGTGAAAAATGGAGTTGGAATCAGTGAAGAAATTTTTAGAGAAAGGAGGAGAAACTGCGTCCATGGTGAATGGATTTCCTCCTAAATTCATGGAAACCTTAATCATGAGTTCCCTTCGCGTCGATCTCATCGAGCCTGGTCGCGTCATCTGCTCCATGATCATCCCTCCCCGTTTACTCGTACTTTCATTTCTCACACCACTCGTCTTTCTTTCTCTTAATTTTTCAATTCTATTACCTTTCATTTTCATTGTAGAATTCTGGAAACTCCTTGCACGGCGGCGCCACCGCTACACTGGTTGACGTTGTTGGCTCCGCGGCTATTCCAGCCTCTGGACATGTAGGTCTCACGGGAGTTTCCGTTGAGATCAACGTTACCTACTTGGACGCTGCCTATGTTGATGTATGTATCTCTCTTTTTCTTCTTTTTCAATTGGTATTATCGATTTTTGTGATTTTTTGTTGTTGAATGCGAGATCTGAATTCAATGCGTTTGGAGTTTTAGGAGGAGATTGAGATTGAAGCTAAGGCGTTGCGTGTAGGGAAAAGTGTTGCTGTTATCAGTGTGGAGTTCAGGAAGAAGAAAACCGGCAAGGTTTTTGCTCAGGGACGCCATACCAAATATCTTCCTGTTGCAAGTAAATTGTGAAACACACCAATTGTAACCAAATATGTACTCTCAATTAAAGTGTAAACCTTTCAAGAGTGGTGGAGGAACTCTCACAAATATATACATATGTGTATGCCACTTTCATTTAGATTTCTGAATTGTCCTTCATTTGTTCCATGTGCAATTGTATATGTTATAAGAATTTGAATCCCGCAGTCCGAGTTTTCACGTAATCATACTGTTAAGATGATATTAACAGTTTGATCTTTATAGTACCAGTCACACAAAACCATTTTAATTTTCTCAAAATCATCTGTTCTAAATCAGAATCATCCGATCATAATCGACAATCAGATGTAGTTGAATGCAGGCTATTTTTATTGCAGCAAATCTAAATCTTTGTAGTTCGGGAAGCACAACTGTTTAACCTTGCTAGGGCTATAAAACTCTTCTGGGGGAGTTTGCTAGTCATTTGAATCTAATAAAATTTGAGGGATTTGTATTTGCAATTGGGATGAGATAATACGTGGTTTTAAGAAAACAGGAGCCGGTTTCCTCTTCAAAGTTTTGTTTAGAGATTTTTTTTTTCTTCACATCTCTTCAAAGTTGATCGTTACTCAACATTTCTTAGACCTTGCTCTAATGGATTTGTTTAAATATTTTTTTAACTTAAATGCATTTTTTATCACTGGAGTGATTTTGGCTTCTAATTTTTTTGTCAGTTTACAAAGACAAATTTTAATGTTAACAGATAATGTTGAAAGTTAAAATGTTATTTGAGGTACAATAATTTAACTGGACCCATTGCCTATGATTCCGAGAGCATTTCTGAAATTGAGTCTGCTTGTCATGGTTCGTCTTCCCATCCCACCATTGCCCTTTCTCATCATGGCAGCAAATTCTCCATAATCTATTTGTCCATCCTGCAGTACAAAATGTTACTGTTGGAGTATAATCTTGAAAGACAGTTTGCAGAAACATGTGACCTATACAAGCTAAGCTCTTAATAGCAAGACAGAGAAGAAGAAAACTTACATTATCTTGATCAATTTCCTTGACCATTTCATCAATATGGATATCATCCAAACCAAACTCCTTACAAGCTACTTGAATCTCGTCAATGGTTATGTAACCACTTCCATCTTTGTCAAAGTAGGAGAATGCTGACAAGAGATTTTCCTCTCTTTCCAGCTTGTTTAAGTGGACAGTAGCAGCAATGAATTCACCATAGTCGAGCGTGCCGTTATTATCAATATCTGCCTGTAAGGTGCAAAATTATAAGTCTGGTCTGATTGTTAAGTTTAGAATTAGGGAAAAGCATCACAAATCATGAACTGGAAATCTAAGACGGTAACTGATGATGTATCTTACTGCATCCATAAGATCCTTGATTTCAGATTCCATAAGTTCAGATCCTACTCGCTTTAAGCCTTCTTTTAGCTCATCCAATGTTATGGTTCCACTACTGTCAGCATCAAGCATCCTGAATAACTCTTTCAAGCCACCAATTTCTTCCTCGGAGAGCCTCTCCGCAATAACCTAGGAGCACAAGCAATAAACGATAAGGCTAAGCTTAAAAACTTGAAAACGGAAAAAGGAAAAAGGTTCACGGATTCCTTACACGTAAAGCCATCTTTTTAAGTTTATTCATTGCAGAGAACTGCTTCAAGCGAGTTAAAACAGCAGAATCAAGAGGTTTGTCTGGTGCAATGTTATCATCGACAATCCATGGATGACCTGCCACAGAAAACCACTTAAATTCCATAGCTCTGAGTTTCAACTCCATGCCAATCATTGCTCAAGTATACTTGCTCTATGTGAAATTTTAGACTTACATAGCACTTGGTGAGCTGTAAACCTATTTTTCGGATTCCTATCAAGCATTTTTCGAATTAGATCCTTGGCACTGTCGGAAATCCCAGGCCATGGCTCAGACTGGAAATCAAGTCTTCCCTGCAAAATCTGTCTGAAAATCCCTTGTTCTGTCTCTGAAGGTGGTAAAATTTGACAAATAGTATTAGCAATGAGGAACGATGAAGATTAAGAAAACCGAAACATACCTACAACCTGCAACCGCATATGATAGTTTAATGTATAAATGAAAATATATACATACCAGCCCAAAATGGCGGCACCCCGCTTAATAAGATGTACAAAATAACCCCGGCACTCCACACATCAGCCTCAGGTCCATAATGCTTGTGCAAAACCTCTGGTGCAACATAGTATGGGCTTCCAACAACATCACTAAAGATTTCACCTGAAAAACACATCAGTTTGTTAAGCATACACATCACTTTGACATTAGTATTTCCCAAGATCCCATTGCTCTCTTAAATCCATTTATTTCCTGAAACATGTTATAATCAAGCACAACCATTCCCACTAAAAATCGCACCAGATTGAAATCAGAACAATGACCCAGATGCAAAAACATGATCAAATCCCTCATCGTTTCATCAATCAAACCGAATCAGATCGAAATAGAAAGCAAAAGCGGAAAAAAAACCTGGCTTGTAAAAAGCAGACAACCCAAAATCAGTAGTTTTGAGAACAGCATCTTCATCAACAGTATCAAACAAAAAATTCTCAGGCTTAAGGTCTCTATGCATAACACCAAGAGAATGACAATTCTCCACAACCTCAACAATAGTTCTAATCAACATGGCAGCTTCTCTCTCACTATAATGCCCTTTCTTCACAATCCTATCAAACAATTCACCACCTTCACAAAGCTCCATAACCAAATGAACAGAAAACGAATCCTCATAAGTCCCATGGATCCTCACAACATTAGGATGCTCAGATAAATGGTGCATTATCTGAATCTCTCTCCACACATCATCGTAATCCTCTTTGCATAAAAGTTTCTTCTTTGGAATTGATTTGCAAGCGTAGGTTCGACCGGTTGGGTTGTGTGTGCAGAGATAGGTGGTGCCAAATTGACCTTGACCCAGTTTTCTACCTAAGGTGTAGAGGTCACGGAGATTCTCTGTTACGTAAGGGAGAACCCATGTGGGTTTTGGTGGTGGTGGGTTGTTGGAATTCGACATTGTTGAGGTTGTACTGTGTTGGGTTTGGAACAACGAAAAAGAAAGAAAGGAGACAAGAGACAAGAGTCAGAGTCAGTGTTTGTGACTTCACATTCTTCTACTATATGCTTCGCACACAAGTAGTAATAATAATAATAATAATAATAATAATAATAATAATAATAATAATAATAATAATAATAATAATAATAATAATAATAATAATAATAATAATAATAATAATAATAATAATAATAATAATAATAATAATAATAATAATAATAATAATAATAATAATAATAATAATAATAATAATAATAATAATAATAATAATAATAATAATAATAATAATAATAATAATAATAATAATAATAATAATAATAATAATAATAATAATAATAATAATAATAATAATAATAATAATAATAATAATAATAATAATAATAATAATAATAATAATAATAATAATAATAATAATAATAATAATAATAATAATAATAATAATAATAATAATAATAATAATAATAATAATAATAATAATAATAATAATAATAATAATAATAATAATAATAATAATAATAATAATAATAATAATAATAATAATAATAATAATAATAATAATAATAATAATAATAATAATAATAATAATAATAATAATAATAATAATAATAATAATAATAATAATAATAATAATAATAATAATAATAATAATAATAATAATAATAATAATAATAATAATAATAATAATAATAATAATAATAATAATAATAATAATAATAATAATAATAATAATAATAATAATAATAATAATAATAATAATAATAATAATAATAATAATAATAATAATAATAATAATAATAATAATAATAATAATAATAATAATAATAATAATAATAATAATAATAATAATAATAATAATAATAATAATAATAATAATAATAATAATAATAATAATAATAATAATAATAATAATAATAATAATAATAATAATAATAATAATAATAATAATAATAATAATAATAATAATAATAATAATAATAATAATAATAATAATAATAATAATAATAATAATAATAATAATAAGCTTTTTACTGCTTACGACGAGGGGTCTCTCCCATTCAGATATCTTGGTGTCCCCGTGAGTAGTAAAAAGCTGTCTGTGGTCCATTATTTGCCGTTGATGGATAAACTGTTGAGTAGGATTACGCATTGGAGTTCTCGACTTCTTAGCTATGCCGGTAGATTACAGTTGATCAAATCTGTGTTGTATGCTATTACCTCATATTGGATGCAGTGTGTTTGCTTCCCTAAAACTGTGATTAGAAGAATCAATGCCATTTGTAGAACCTTTCTCTGGACAGGAGGTAACAGCAGTAGTCGAAAGAGTCTGATTGCGTGGGATAAGATTTGTAAACCTGCGGCAAAAGGAGGTTTGAATGTGCTGGATCTAGTGGTTTGGAATAGCATGTTTATGATGAAGTTACTCTGGAATATATCCATGAAAACCGATGATCTGTGGGTTCGGTGGATTCATGCTTATTACCTGAAGAATGAGGATGTTATGTATAGAATGGTTAAAAATTCAGATTCAATTATTTTTAAAACTATTCTGATGCAGAGGGATAATATTGGCACTATGCAGGGGGATTGGAATGAGATGGTGCAAGCAGGGAGATTCGTTGGTAGGCGAGTGTATGCGAACTTATTGCCTGCCACACCTAAGGTTGCCTGGTCCAGGTTAATTCTCCACAATAGAGCTAGACCCCGTGCCATATATACTCTCTGGATGACCTGTCATGGAAAGCTAGCCACAAAAGTTAGATTGAATCGATTTGGCATGGTGGATAATAACCAATGTGTCTTCTGCCCTGCGGCGGAAACCATTGACCATCTATTTTTTGATTGTGCTACTTTGAGGAAGATTTGGGTTGAAATACTTCACTGGATTGGTATCCCTCACAATCCTGGGGATTGGACAGAGGAGCTAAACTGGATGTTGAATTGTTTTGGTGGTAAAGGTTGGAAAGCCGATCTTGTTAGATTAGCTCTGACTGAAACGGTACATGAGGTGTGGAGGTTTAGAAATGACACTTGTTTTAATCAGAGAAATGACAGTAGGAATTGTACAGATAGAATTATTAACAACATAGTCTATAGAGGGTGGTCGAGCCCTAAGCTTAGACCACATATAGCTCTCTTGATGGTTCAGTAGGTCTTTTTGTTTTGGGCTGGATTTTGATCGCCGTGTTTTGTTCTTGACTTTGGATTAATGATATTTTTGATTCAAAAAAAAAAAAAAAAAAAAAAAAAATAATAATAATAATAATAATAATAATAATAATAATAATAATAACAATAATAATAACAATAATAATAATAATAATAATAATAATAATAATAATAATAATAATAATAATAATAATAATAATAATAATAATAATAATAATAATAATAATAATAATAATAATAATAATAATAATAATAATAATAATAATAATAATAATAATAATAATAATAATAATAATAATAATAATAATAATAATAATAATAATAATAATAATAATAATAATAATAATAATAATAATAATAATAATAATAATAATAATAATAATAATAATAATAATAATAATAATAATAATAATAATAATAATAATAATAATAATAATAATAATAATAATAATAATAATAATAATAATAATAATAATAATAATAATAATAATAATAATAATAATAATAATAATAATAATAATAATAATAATAATAATAATAATAATAATAATAATAATAATAATAATAATAATAATAATAATAATAATAATAATAATAATAATAATAATAATAATAATAATAATAATAATAATAATAATAATAATAATAATAATAATAATAATAATAATAATAATAATAATAATAATAATAATAATAATAATAATAATAATAATAATAATAATAATAATAATAATAATAATAATAATAATGAAAATTGCGAAAGTTAAATCAAACTCCGTGGTTTTCGTGTTACTGTTTTTTTACTTCGATGCGACTTTTTATTAAAGAAATGGAAACGGGAGTGGAGGTCATTATTAGAATGTTACAAAATCATTAAAAAATGTTGCTACTTTATTTTACACAAAAAGTTGTTGTTACTTTAGCAATATATTTTTATTTAAATTACTTAGTAATATAAACTAGCTTAATATATATATATATATATATATATCTTAAATGATCTCCGAGATGAAATTCAAAATGATAAATTTAAAAAATTATATTGAGAAAGACATAAAACACATTTTTTTTCACTAACTCCACAACAAAATAGAATAATAAAAAGGAAAAATAGATATTTTAAAAAGGTAGGACAATGTTGGACAAAACCAACATTCTAAAATATTTATGTGCTAATGCAATAATTATTATGCTATGATCAAAGTATTAATAAAGCATATTTTAAAACTTATGTCTAATGAAATACATAAAGGAATGATGTCAAATATTTCTTACCATCATGTTTATGGTGACAAATGTTTTATCTTTAATAACGAAAAAGATAATATTGATAAATTTGTTGTTAAAGCAAACGTGGGTCTTTTTTTTTGGCATTTCACTTCTATAAAGTTTTTCGTATTTATAATAAAAATGACTATGACTATAGAAGAGTTCATATATATTATCTTTGATGAAATTAACATTAAGTATTTATTAGATGTAAGTATTTGATTTTGTAGGTATTTTAGAAAAGAATCTCTAAGAAGACAAAGATACAAATGAAAACACACAACAATCTCACCAAAATCTACCAAAAAATAAAAAATTGCAAAAGATCATTTGATAAAAAATGTAAAAGGGACATCTTTAAAGAAATAACTACTCAACATTCTCTAAATTAGGTATGTCATATAATGACTTTTGTTTCTCAAATTGAGGAAAAAAATGTCAATAAAACTTTCATTGGTGAACATTAGTCATGTATTATGCAAGAAGAGTTAAATCAATTTGAAAGAAACTGTGAGATATTGGATCGAACTCTAGTATGGTCGAATGATAGCTTTTAGTTCGGCCGGAATTAGTCAATGCGTGTTGCTGTCGGAGTTTGTTCGCGTGCTGCTGTTGGAGTAATGCGTGTTGTAGTCGAAGTTTGTTCTAACATACATTAGTCAATATTGTTGGGTTTGTTAGCATGTTGAATTGAGTCTTACTTGTAAGTCCAATTGTTTAAGTTAACTTGTAATGGGTAATTGTTAAAAAAATCTATTAGGTTGGTGTGCAAATTCTCTTATAAATAGCATGCTAGCCTCTCATCTTGACATAAGGAAAAATAGGAAGTTAAAATCCTAATTTCAAGAGAGAGGTTATTTTGTTATTCTTGTATACTTGTAATCTTGTTCTAAGAGTAAGGAAAGAATAGCAGTTTATAACCAATCCTTGTTGTTCCTTGTTGTTTTTACCTTGTTTTCTTTGTTAAATTTAACCCTTGTGTGTTTCTTGATCATAAAGAAACCATTTATATTTTGTTTCAAGACATTCATTTACAACAAATTGGTGCGGTGAACGCGGAGAAGATGCCTTCAACAAAGTGTGAGATTGAAAAGTTCACCGGAGTGAACGACTTCGGTCTGTGGCGCTTGAAGATGAAAGCCCTACTTGTTCAGCAGGGTCATTTGGAAGCGTTGAAGGGAGAGGCAGCCATGGACATTGCGTTAACGGCAAAAAAAAATACGGGCATGATTGAGAAAACCCACAACGTAATATTGTTGAGCCTTAGTGATAAGGTTCTTCGACAAGTATCAAAGGAGACTATAACATCGGGATTATGGGTGAAACTTAAAAGTTTGTACATGATCAAATCTCTGGTGAATCGACTCTACCTGAAGTAAGCTTTATATTCATTCAAGATGAGTGAAGACAAAGTGTTGGCTGAGCAGTTGGATATGTTCAACAAGCTGATTCTTGATCTTGAAAATATTGATGTGAAGATCGATGATGAAGATCAAACACTGTTGTTGTTGTGTACTTTGCCCAGAATACATGCTCACTTCAAAGAAACTCTCTTGTATGGAAGGAAGTTAGTGAGCTTTGAAGAAGTTCAATCAGCCTTGTATTCTAAGGACTTGAACGAACAAAAGGAGCATAAACCTTCGACGGTGGGCGAAGGTTTGGCCGTCAAGGGAAAATTCTTGCGAAAGGATGGTAAGTTCGACAAAAAGAAAGGTAAAAGTCAGCAGAAGTCTTCTAGTGGCGAAACATCTTGTATTCAATGTTATCACTGTAAGAAGGAGGGTCACACAAGAAAGGTATACCCTGAATGTAACACCCTTTTAAACCCCACGGAATATATATAAATAATCAGAGTAAATCATCGTGCATTCACAAAAGGGTGTCACACATAATTTCCAAAACATCAAAAACATTTGTCATGCTCATTAACACTTTAATAAATAATCATGCTTTTCAGACCATTTGATTCAAATCAATTTGGGTAGAGTCAAAACTGGATTTTTCAGACCATTTGATTCAAATCATTTTTTGCACATGATTCAAATCAATTTCCTGATATCCATTTCTGTTTGATTTGATTCAAATCAAATTTAGAACATGATTTTAATCACACACTTTTTCATAAGTTTCTTGTAAGGGTTGTTGCATTTAATTCGAATCATTTTTCTGTACATGATTCGAATCATGTGGCTCATGATTCAAATTAAAATTTACTTTGGCTCGAATCAACTGACATATTTTAAAAAAATTTGTTTTTTTTATTCCACTTCACTTGCTCATTTGATTCAAATCATATATTGCTCTTGATTTGAATCTAATTGACATTTTCAATCATTTTCTATGTTTAATCTCAAGCACATATAAAACCTTTTTGTCATCATTTCTCACAAAACATCTATCATTTTAATCATAATTTTTTTTAGTGCTTTTAGTGAAAAATCAATTTCCTCTGTTTTGAATGTTCAAACTCTTGCAACAAAATTCTTACATCTTCAACTTCAATTTGGCTCAGATCTTGATAACAAGATATTTGTAATTGATGAAGGAGACATGTCCTTGAAACTAATTGTTCTTGGACATCTGGTTGTGTTTTTCAGGTTGTTTGCAAGATTGAGGTGATTGTCAATGGTGGTGACAAATTCCATTGAAAAGAAGTAGGTTCTTCTCTCCAAAATTTCCTTAGTAGTAACTGTGTGGAAGGATACAGATACGGTGAATTTCTTCTCAAATATTAGAACAATTCATTGCTCAAGAAATCAGTAGGATCAAGGGGTTGATTTTTACACATGAAGGCTTTGAGCAGATTGATGATATTGAAAGATTCAAGAAACGTAATTCGAGTAAAGATTACGTAGAATAGTTTGGCATTATGATATATACAAGTAAAGATCCAAATAAGGTATTTTATGTTCTCAATTGTATTATAGATTTGTGATTGTATAAACTTTTGGAAATATTTGTCAGATAACAAGGAACTAGTAGGTAAAGCAAGGACGAACACCGAAGCACTATAAATCTCAGTGCCATCTCTCTCTCTCTCTCTCTCTCTCTCTCTCTCTCTCTCTCTCTCTCTCTCTCTCTCTCTTACTCTTGCATTTAATTTTGTAGTATATGTATGCTTATGTTTTTCAATTCTTTCGTAGTTTATCGTTTATTCTTTGATAGTGGTTTATTACATAAGCATTAGGTTTTGTTGGAATTGGATAACTTGTTAAGCTAGATTGGAGATTAATTTTCTAAGGGAAAAAATTGACATTAGAATTCCTTTCATTGAATCATTGTGTAAACACTTCTTGTGAATTAAACAATTGAATCAATCCACACCTATTATTTCATCATGTTCATCTTTGGTGTTTGTGAAATAATCGATGTTAACTTAATCAAAATTCAAACAGTAAAATTTTCACATTTTCGCATTAAACCTTCTGCTCGCAATTACTTTTGACAACACTCTAATTTTGTAAATGCCTGTTGAATTTTAAATTAGGTATATTCACCCCCTTTAGATTGTTTTTCTACTTTCATATTCACACCCAACAAATACTGCTTTGGATTCCTTGAAAGATGTGCATACATCTCTAGTTGATGAACGTTTTAACGTTTCTGGAACTTTAGTTGAAAAGGTAGAAAAAGTATAGTGTGTTACTTGTTCAATTTTAAAATCTAAAATTGAAAACCTCAAAAGACAATTAACTCATGCTATTTAACTATCTA